TGTTGTTTTTTCGTTGATGTTGTTTGCTTGTTGCTTCTTTTGTTGTTTTTGTGTTGACAGCGGAGGCGTCGTTGTTTCAAGCTGAACCTTGTCGCTTGTTCTTGCTGCTTGTTGCTGTTGTTGTCGTCGTGTTGATAGCGGAGGCGTTGTTGTTTCTTGCTTAATCTTGTTGCTTGCTTGCTTGCTATATAGTTGCTTGTTGCTGTAATAGTGGTGGCGGTGATAGGGTGGCGACCCCTTGTTGCCATGGTTGTCTCAAGATCCAAATCGATCAGACTAAAACGCGAACACCACTCTTGACGTTCTGCACGACTTGACGCACGATTCGTCGGGTGCATACCGCCCCTATCGAGGGGGCCCAGGTTACGTTACCAGGAGCAGCAGGCCCAGGAGGCCTTCACGCATCGCCTGAACCTGTTATCGTTTCGCCAACCAAATGCACGATCTGGACGGGGGGGGGGGCATACGAAGCCATACAGGGGGGGCGTACTCCAATGTTTTTGCATGCCTTCGCTGTTAAGACCAGTGGCTGACGCGCCCACGAGAGGCCGGAGCATTGTTCCCACAGGACCGATCACCGATGGCCAAATCGTTCCTTCCTACTTTTCCATCAAACGTGGCTCAAAAACGTTTCCCCTTCATTTTGTCTATGTACATGCTGTCGTTACCCGGCAGATGTGTTGCGCAAAAGTGAGCGTTGATACAAACTGACAATAAAAAAGTGCGATTATGGACACTTGTGACGCAAGGCACAAGTGTCCGGAGCGCTCGTCCCTGTGATGGGCACTGCATATGTGCTCGGAGGGGGGTTTACCGAGAAGATGTAACCGTCTCTCGGGCTAATAATGGAAACCAACGGAAGAATTCCGATTGGCTACCATTCCCTGCGCGATGATGAAACGGTTCCTCCGCATGACAGCTTGCAGCGATCTCGCCCCCCAAGCTGTCAGTGACCTTTTAAGTCCGGAAACTGAGCACAAACCCTTTGTGAACGAACCTGACCTGAGCGCTACTGATCTGCTATCGCAACTGTGAGTGATGACCCCGCCTGCCTGACTGGATCATGGAGTATCATCTGCCTGCTTGGAGTATTACTCCTTGCTCGCTTGTGTTGCACGGAACGCTTGTCCTATGAACTCGCAAGGTGAGAGTGTCTTTGCCTGGAATATCGTAGTCTAGCCTTGTCTCTGTAAGACTATACCCCGGGAAAGCTATACCCTGGGGGTAAATTGCATACCTCCCTCAATCTTGTCCTGCTTGTAGGCCGCGTCATATACCCCGGTGTTGCCATGCCAAAATTGTATACATTACCGACGGGGTATTTGCTTACCTTACCGACGGCGTTGTCCGTGCGGTTGAATATCTTGAGGGTGCAGATGTCGTCGTACTCGTCCCAGTCCTGATCTTCGAACTCGTGGCTGCTCCGGGGGGGGGGGAGGAGGACACGTCAAGCACCGGCCACCCACACGTCGAAGCACGGCGGTGAAAACCAATACAGGTAGCGCCCGCCCGCTCGCGAAACAAACGACCTTGCTCGGCAGTAAAGAACTTAACCTGGCAGTAAAGAACTTGGTGGCTAGTGAAGAACCTCATGCTCAAAACTACTATTTACGTCAACACACAAGACAGAGGAGCATGTACAAATCAACGACGCGTACAGTATGATCTCGACGAGACGAATCCAACGCCCTATTAAAACTACAATGTCAACACACAAGACAAATAGGTATGTACAAATCGACGATGCGTACAGTACGATCTCGGCGAGGCGGTTCCAACCCCCCACCATTTTCGGTACCACCACTCTCTCTCTCTCTCTCTCTCTCTGTGTGTGTGCTACGTGGAATAATCGAGCTCCGAAAATCGCTCCAGGGGATGAGATTTTTTATGCCACCTACGGTACTCGTGTAGACTATAATCCCGACGTCGTGAGCCATTACTTCTCTCTCTTTCTCTCTCTCTTTCTCTGTCTCTCTGTCTCTCTGTCTCTGTCTTGCACTGCGACATCAGTGACACGCGCGCGCGCACCCTCACGGGGGGTCTCTCAGATCACGGCCTTCATTTCCAAGTGTTTCGTGTTCCCAACCGCACTGAAACTGACGTCTTCTCATTGGTCAGCGGGTAAGCGCGGCCAATCAACACGCACAAGATACACACACCGATTCGGTACCAACATGTGTGTACCCACATACCTCAGGATGTTGGTGATCTCCAGGCTCGAAGACGGGAAGTAGAAGATCTCGACGGCGTAGTTCTCGTTCCACAGGTCAAGCAAAGGGTTGCTCGACCCCTCCGCCGGCAGCTGCCCCTTCTCCAGGAAGGTCTCCCTAGCGCGCTGCTTGCGATCGGTCACCTTGATCGCGGTGCGCGCGCTGTCGAGCTGGAACGTGAAGTCTGCGGCAAGCGACGGGGGGGGGAAGGAGGAGGAGGAGGAGGATAGCTTCAGGGTGGATTCCACGATGCAGGCAACGCAGCAGAGATAGGTGTGGGGGGGAGGGCGGAAGTGGGGAATTTCGGGAGATATCTAGTAACAGATAAGAATGAACTAAACAAGTCTTAACATATAGACAGACGAGACGGAAAGAGAAGAGAGTAAGAGACAGGGACCGAGACAGAGACAGGGAATACCCGAGAAAAACCAAGCCAACGGCCAGGAATCAAAGTCGACGGCTCTGACTCTGTCGCCGGTGAACTATCGCACATATCCGCAGCTATTTAGCTCCTTTTCGCTCAGAAACAAAAACGCCGTTTCCTTCGCTCACCCACGGTGACCCCAAGGAGGCCGAAGTGAGCGATCTTCAAAGCGAAGCCTTCGGGGTCGTCGACCCTGCTCAGCTCGACCTTCTTGCCGTCCCACGTGATGATGGTGGTCGCCACCACGTAGTCGCAGACGGTCTGCGGCAGGCACGGCAGGCGAAACGTACGACAGTAGTAGGGGTTACCTTCCCCCCACTCGTGTGCATCCGTGTCGAAGTGTACATGTATCCTTGGAACAAAACCGCCCTACTACAGTAGAAGCATTTGTTCCACGAGCAGAAAGCCGTCAAGAAAGCATCGGATCGCGTCTTTGTAATGTGTTTGTTCGTCCTTACGTATTCTGGCGACAGGTTACGGGCCTTGCAGTTGTATCTAGAATACCCTTCTGACTTATCAGCCGGGGTCACACAGGAATTTTATTCAATGTTGAAGTGGTCACAATAAGGCCCGTCCATGTGAAGACGTTCCTAAAAAGGGTACAGTCTCCCCAACGTTTGTGCGGATTGCAGCACACCTACAGCAACAACAAACAACAACAGAGACTGAGAAAGAGGATCAAAAAAGGGCGGCAGCACACCTAACCTACCTGTGTCTGCCCGACGCCATGGCAAGCCGCGTTAACCACGCCTCCGTACGTGACCGTCTCCAGGATGACGTCGGACTGGATAAACATGCCCCGCCACTCGCCCCTGCCGAAAACAAGAGCGGCAAAGCAGGCGATGCCAGACGATTATAGCCCGTAGTGCTTGAGAAGACGTTGGGGCGGTTTTTCAGCGCCCGACTTTTATCTTGAGATAATTTGTCCGTTCGATCCAAGTCGTTCGTTCTTGCCATACACGCCCGCCGTTGAGTACTTGGGATGATTGCAGGGGTCTTATCCGCTTCACTGATAGGGCCCACAAGGTTTAGGCCGGGACCGTTTACTAGGCGGCGTGCCAACGTTCCGCGTAGCCCCTCCCCCCCCCCCCCCCGTTGTCCCAAACGTTGTGTTCCTTGAAAATTGTCCGGGACGTCCCTCACGTTTTCCTAACGAAAGTTTCCTGGGCCGAAGTCATGCCAAACCCTAATGCTTCCAAAATTTTCTAATGGGGCTCCCTGAAAAATCTCACGAAATTTTTTCATGAGACCCCCCGGCAAAATTTTCCCTCGTGGCGTCCTTCGTCTCATCCATCAACACATGATCCTCTTCCACAACAACGCCAAAAAAAAAAAAAGGCTCGACCGACAGCCTGCGTTACCACACCGCACTGCACCAATAAATTAATATCGCCTTTTCTCGTCCACCTCCGCGAGAGCGAGTGCGCAAAGTGTCCATGCTGAGATCCCGCGACGACGACGATGGATTGTCTCACCTGTCTTTGGAGTCGCAGAAGGACGCCAGCTCCCCGCAGGTGACTCCCGGTCCGATCTTAACCTAGCGTGTTGTTCCATTTTTTGTTTTGGGGGGCGGATGCACAGACGGACGGACGGACGGACGGCCATGAGAAGAACGATTGCCAGGACACGGCGGGGGGGGGTGAAAAAGCGAGAACTGGCTGGCTACCCCCAACATGGAAGTTGAGTTTGACCTCTATTTATTGCGTGCGAGCTCCCGGTACACAGGCCATAGTGCTGCTCGGTTTTCTTGTGTTTAACGGTGAGTTAAGACGATTGGTAACCCAACAGGGGTAGAACGGCCAAGAGCTTGGTCAACCAATAATTAGTTAAATCAAGCCACCAGTTTGGGTTTTGGCTGTGCTTCAAAGATACACTCAGACAAAAAGTTGTGAGCAAAAGAGGACAGGTCTACCTTCAATAGATGGGTGTAACGCACGCACGCGCCACCTCCCTGTGGGGCACTTGGGCGGACGCCTACCTGCGTCGGGTTTTCGTCCGCGCTCCAGACGATGTCCTTGAGGCCGGTCGTGTCCACGAGCCAGGCACCATCGTCGGCGAAGAGGTTAGTCCACGAGTGGCTCGAACCGGTGCATCGGATCTTGGGTGAGGGCGACAAACCTCTGGCCTGACGAGCACGATGAGTTGGGCGGCGGCAGCGGCGCGGTGGTGGCACCAGAACTAGCTTGCTGTCGTTATTGTTGTGGTTGCCTTTTCTACACTGACAAGTGAAGCAAGCAATCTTCTTGAGCTCTCGCTTCCACGGCGTGTGTACTTCGACCTTGCTCCTTTGTGTTATTCAATATCACCGAAAGGTTTTATGCTTACGACAAGAAATAGGTGTACCAATATTCAATATCACCGAAAGTTTTTAAGTTTACGACGACAACAAGTAGGTGTATTCAACATCACCGAAACGTTTCATGTTTACGAGAAGAAATAGGTGTTCTACTACAATACTGCTGTATCAGGCGAGAAGTGCGGCATGGTGGGAAAAAACCCAGAAAGTCGCGATGCCGCGGCACCCGGCACCTTTGTGGGACCCTGCGCTACGACCTTGGAAATGTAGGGAAGATGTACATATGCACAGGCGTCTGATGGCCGCCGACGCCGGCGTTAATCAAGAGGCTTTTGATCCCGCACGCTGCGTGGTGTACGTACCGCCCCCGCATAGCACAATCGCACATTAGTGGACCTGCATACACTGCACACCTGTCTGGAAATACAGGGACCATTAAAAAATGTAGGGATCCTTCTGATATTCCCGCTTGTATCCGAATTGCTGTCATCCTTTTCTGTCTGGAAATACAGGGACCATTGAAAAATGTAGGGATCCTTCTGATATTCCCGTTTGTATCCGAATTGTTGTCATGATTCTGGCACATATAGTACAACATCCATCTGCCCAAAGTCACCTCAACGTTTTCAACCAGGGTGGTTGTCGTACAAAGCCTATCGGAGCGGTATAGCACAGCATCTATCTGCCCAACCAACTCAACCTCTCAAAAAGCGTGGCAGACCATACAGCACAACATGCCCAACCAACCCAACATAGAAAACAGAGCGCCACATGTAGCACAACACCTATTATTATCAACATGCCCAACCAGCCCAACGTTAAAACAGAGCGGCGTATGTAGCGTAGCACAACACCTATTATCTGCCAAACGAGTTAATAGTACAAAATCTATCTGCACGAAGCAGCCGTACAGCACAACGTCGTCTGCCACAACTCACCTCGGCCAGGATGTCCTGCACCTCCGACACGGACTCGGGGGCGAAAACCTTTCCGGGCTTCGAAGGCGCCGTGGAGGCCCAGTTGTCGAAGTTCCCGTCCTTGTCGACCTTGCCCGCTTTCACCTCCTGCAGGTTCGAGTCCACGTCCACTTCCGACTCATCGTCGACCGAGTCCTTGGCTGACGTTGGAAGATAAAAAAACAAAAATTGTTTGCAGCCCCGCGCATGGGGAATACAATCGGGACGAAGCGGGAATGAAGTACGGGGTCGGACCAGCCTGTGTTGTTGGTTGACGATATGTGGGTGTAACTACAGGAGAGTTTACCGTGTACTCCCTGACGCTCTCCCGAAAAGCTACATGACAGAAGCAGTCGTCATCGACAGGGCCTGCCTTTGGTTGAGGAGAATTGAGATATTTGCAGCGCCGCCCGCAAAATCCCGGTAACCGGGAATAGCATCGGGACGGAGGGGCATTTGAAGGACGGGATCGGATCAGGTTCGTTGGTTGGATAACGAACTAGGGTGAGGAAAGTCAGCCGTGTACCCAGACTCTCCCCCGAAATTATCTAGAGGGGAAGGGAAGTCAATGTTGGCAGAGGGGACGGAACAGCTGCATGCCTGACACCCGACTGCAGACCAGAAAGGTTCTTAACGCGACGACCACAGCAACAGCAACGACCGAGATGCCGAGGAGGGGGAACTTGAGACAGATACATACATCGTCGAAAACGAGAAATGAGACATGCCTGACACGCCAATCGCGGCGCCCCTCACCTCCTAGGCAAGGAAGCCAGCTGAAGGGCTTCTTTTTGTCGTCATCGTGCATCTTTTTCTCCTCCGCGGCAAACTGGGTGCGCCGGAGAAGGGGACCGGTTTATCGGCGACCCCCCCCCCCCCCACACACACACACACACAGGCACAATGTAAACGGAGATTTAGGAAGGGAAACGAAGAGGACGACAAGTTCAGTTGTGCGAATGGGGCTCAGCGATGATGTCTAGCAATATAAGGGCATGCAAAACGTGAGGACACCCCCCCCTCCCCCCCCCACCGGCACACCATCGCCAGACGCGGTAGCTGAACCATTGATAGCGAGGGTGACCACGAGGGACATGACAAACAACGGCAAAGGTCAGAGGGAGGCAGACATGTTCGATGCTCGTCGAAAACAACAAGTTTCGATGTCTCGAGGGGGCCAGAACAACAAAAGGGGAGGGTGTTCGTGTCGTGCATTTTCGTCGTGTTCTTTTGTGGCTGTTTGCTCCGGGGGGGGGCACACAGCAACGTTTCGGAGGGGGGACTTGATATGTGTATCTTCACTCATGTGTGACGAAAGCAAGCTGGTTGCTAACGGCAAAAACAACAACAACAGCCGATGCGTCAGCCACAACATGCAGCGACTATGACAACAGCGTCAGCCGCAACAACAAAACCACCCACGATAAAACAACACCAACGACGACGAGAACAACGAGAACGTCAACATCTCAACAGAACTAAAACACTCTCAACGACAGCAACAAAACAAGGATCGGCACACACACACACCAACACACCCATGCTGTCCCCTCACGGGGTCCCAGTTCATGGCAGATATAGAAGTGTTTCGTGTTTTCAACCGCACGAAGACTGACGTCCTTTCACTGGTCAGCCGGTGGTCAGCGCGGTCGATGCTGACAATAAAAAACACAAACACCACCACCACGACACTCCATCGCCATCAAAAAAACTCTCCCAGCACAGCAGCACCTTCTGCAGGATGGTTTGGCTCTCCTCGGTAGACCAGCGCTCCTCCCAGCCCGGCGACTTCTCCGTTGCCGTAGACGACATGCTTGAGGCAACCTCTCTCTCTCTCTGGACAACGGATGACCTGCGGGATCGATAGATCGACAAACGGACGGCAACAGAAAGCAGGCTTACATAACGCTCGGGGCGAAGATCGCATGGCATGTGGGAAAGGTCGGTAACGGACCCGAACACCACACACAACGTGCGTCCAAACTCGGATCACAGGACTCACTCAATGCCTGACGATGAGCTCGCTCTCCCCGTCCTACACTGTAGCGTATACAGTGTTAGATAAAGACTTATCCGCTGCTACTCAGTCCAGCGCTGACTGAGTAGCATAGTGTGATCCACCCGGGATTGGAACCCGTGCGTGTATCTTTTGTTAGACAAAGCGCTGACCGAGAAGAATGGTGGATAAGTCTTATATCTAACAAACAACCCTAACTCGCGACTCAAGCTTCCGAAGTTGGGGCGGTGGCTGTACGTCGTCCATGGATTATCACCGTGAGAGTCAGCGTCGGAGGGCACCCCCAGCGTGCGATCGATCGTGTTTCGCAAAAATTTCGTGCCTCGACCTCTATCGCACCCTCGTCGTCCTCCATCGCAGCTCTCCGAATCGTGTGCCAACTGTCCGCGCCATTGTCTGTAATCATTCGTCTGTGGCTGTATGCATAGTAGCTCATCAAGCGTTCACATGGGTCTCGAGAGGCGTACCAGGACGCAACCAACAAACAAACGCGAAACAAACGCGCTTCTGTTTGTGTCCCGGCGCCAGCAAAAAGAAGAGAACAAACGCCCACGAGATCTCTCCGCCCCCCCGCGTGCGAAAATCGCAATATACCCACCCTCGTTCTTGCTTCTTTGCAGCACGATGGTTGGTGCAACTGTCCCATCAATGCCAACTCTCCGACCATATGGTAAGTTGGTGCGGTTATCATATGTGCAGTAACAGCGATATGATACCCTGTTTGTCTGCGAAGTAGATCTTGCTGGGCTCCGAAAGTTCAGGAGTTTTCACCTTAAGGTTAGGTTCGCAAGTGCGAATGCCTTTTTACGCGGGTCCTTGATATATTTGGGTACCTTGTTTCGGGTTATTGATCTCGCTTGTGACCGCAAGGGGATTCGTTCATTTTGCCTATTTTCTTGAAGAAATGTAGTCTAGCCTCTTGGCGATAACAACACACAACAACAACAACACACATCCCTTTGGAAACGAGCTCACATAGACATGAGACGTGTCAGTGTACATACATGACGGCTCTTTCTCGCTCACTAACCCATGAAGTGAATGTTAGTCTACATCATCTTCGTGGGAAATATACGTAGTTTAGCACGCAAACACTGCACTCAAGACAATCACCGCGCGTCGGCAACGGATACAGCCCAGCACCTTCTCCCCGTGCACCCGAGCCTGCAATGCTTAGCTCAAGTATAAGTACTAGCGTTAGCATTTGTACCGTGATCCGGGCAAATGGGTGGGAACATTTTTCAAGGGATGGATGTTGTACCCTTGAAGAGTGCGGTAACGCATATTGTCACGCACTACTTGCATATTATTCAGTAACCAGAAGTAGTGACTACCAATCAATGTCAAACACCTAGCAAGTAGACCATGCTTATAGAGGTCCTTTGTTTAGCAAAAAAAAAATAGTGGCGGAGGAAAGGAAGGAGGAAAGGAAGTAGTGCTTAGACTATCCCCGGTTATCCCCGGTTAGGGCCGGCCAAACCTCCAGCGGGCACTAGTGTCCAGTGCCCACTCCTGTACTGAATTAAAACCCATCGATCACTACTGTTCTGAATAGTGCCGGTCCCCATGCCGGCACCTGCTGCAGTCGTAAAAGTAAGGTGGGGGGAGCGCCATATTGAGGGGCCCCCGACTTCGAGAAATTTGAAGTGCTTTCGTCCCATCCATCTGTTTGGGCCCCAGCGGCCAATGCTTTTCGGCGCAGTCAGCATGCATGATGCATATGCCTTTGACGCACCAACTCGGGTCACACGGAAAGCAGAGACAGGAGGAAACAACGGTTGGTTCTGTTCTCCACACCGTCCTTTCCTTCCCCCTGCGGTGCGTTATTTTACTGCTGTGTGGGGACCTTTTTCACGCTTTTTTCGAGATACGACTTGTTGACCACCTCTCGTGCATAAAAGTTTTCAAGCCAGAGAGGTTAGAACATGCAATCCAGAGAGAGAGAAAGAGCGGTTCAGAAGGTTACGAGGGTAGCAGCTGAACCCGCGAGGCGAGAGATTTCTACTTTGTCACGTCACCGGTAGCTGGTGGAGCCTGCACAACAGCAGGAAGTTCATCCGAACGAACAAATGCGCGCAGAAAATCACACTCCGACTTCTCAGGAGGCGGCGTGGCACACGACAACAACGGCCTTGTTCTCCCTCCTTTCAAGGACGCTGGCAACAACTCGCGGTAGCCTATGCAAGAAGGCCAGGCGGGGCGGGCGTGAGGCGTGCTGGCACACACTCCTGCACCTTTTGCGAAACGGAAAATGCAACAACATCAACATATATATGCATCAACATCAACAACAAGCAGAGCGGGAAACCTACCTATGCACACGCAATACACACCTACCTGCTGTGCAGAAAAGAACAGATGGCTTGCTTGTAGATCTCCTTCCAACGAGAGCAGCACCGGCAGCAGGAGCACAGCAGCAGCAGCAGCAGCAACAGCAACAGCAACAGCAACACACTTGAGGCTTGGGGGACGAAGCGAGTGAGCTGGCTCGAAGAGGACGATAAAAGAAAGGGGACGCGGTCCTTCCGCTTCGCTTCTTGCCGAATCGGCATATATCACAAAGATCCACCTGGAGACCGACCGTGTTTTCTTTCCTACGGTATTTTATAGGAAAGTTATTTTTGGTCGGGAAAACAGTTTCGTCCATGTGTTTGACGGTACGTACACCACACAACAACCTTACCTCTCCTTCGTTCCGCTCATCATCATCATCATCATCATCATCATCATCATCATCATCATCATCATCATCATCATGCACGAGAAGCATAACAACACGAAGAAGGAGCCCCGGTCATCTCTCTGTGCGACCCGCGGCTGTCATAGGCACACAGCAGTATCTTCTCGTGCTCGCGCTCGAAGCAAATATCGGATGGATGGGTGTAATAACAACAAAGAAAGACGCTTGATTATTGCGGGCGAAGGAAGGCTGAAGGGTTAATGACCACAGCCTGTTGCCAGCCTGTCACCTACTTCCGGTAGACTAATGCCGGAGCGCGTTTGTTTATTCGCGTAGACTATGATACAAAATTAATTGTGTCGTGGATTGCCAAGCAACAACAACGACCGACGTCTTCACCTCACAAGGTTACCACTCTGACTGATGGCGCTCGATCTTGGTTGCGATGGCTTAGACTACACTACGTAGAAACCTTGGGCAGGCACGCACGTGGTGGCAGGATCACCTTCTTCCTCAAAGGTGCCTCTAACAAAAGTAAAAAGAAGTGGCCGACAGAAAACTCTCGTTCCTCCTCCTCCTTCTACAAGTAATTGTAGTGGTATTGAGGAACTTGGCCAACCCGTCTGGCAGTCCATCAGTTCCCGAGATCGGGCGTCGTATCTTCTTTCTTTCGAAGCAACGAGATCCATTCGTGTCCGTCTATCTTCTATTTAAACTGCAGAGAGAGCCTCTGAGGGCGGCGGTGTTCTGAGGCATTTGGGTGACGGAACGTGTATGTATGTATGTATCCTACAGACGACGACGAGGACAACATTCGGCACTTTATAGAAGCATATATATATCTAGACGAAGTACTAAGTAAGGAAGATGAATCTCATCATCGTCGACGCCAATGAGAATAATTTCCTTTCACTCTACAAGAGTCAAGAGTCACTGAATTAAGTGGTGACCAACCGTTCTCACCAGCCAAGGCATTTTCCCTCTTGATCATGTGGCGAGGAATAGCCAAACGTGGACGAAGTTACTCGGTGGGTGCTAGTTTCAAGAAAGCTTAAAGGTGGAAGCGAGCGAGAGAGGGACTTCTTCGCGGGTACTTCCACATCCATCCCCACATCTTCCCCCGAATGGTCACTGCATTCGGTGACTATTTTCTTGGTCAACATTTTCGGACCGCTACAATACAAGAACGTTAACAAAATATTTAGTCTCCAGATCTATTGGTCGCATGTGCCTCCCTACCCGTAGGAAAATACCTACCTATGCCCGGTTTCCACCGGATCACACACAAATGTTTCGAGGTACACTTTTTTCGAGACGCACGTGCTTGAATCAGACAACAACCGGACCCATCTACTGTAGATTGTAGCCCAATACAAAGAAGAAAAAAAACTCCGCAGGAAGTCTGGTGCCTGTTCGGTTAACGCCAAGAGTAAACCTCGCGGCAAAATAAGAGGTTGCCCGTATAAGTATGCTTTATACTCTGGCGAAGAGTTATCCCGTGGACACCGACCATCCCGCGTGAAAAAGGAAAGCTGTAGACTACCAAGTTCAATCTGCTTTTGCGTTGATCCATTTCTGCCCCTCACGAGTTCCACACACAATGAGCGACAAGACTCCATGCGCTCGTGCATTCCCTACACGCAGCAGGGCTTCGTCCACGTACGTATTATGTGAAGGCTAGGTGCGTTCCCTTCATACAGCAACACCTCGTCCATGCATGTCGAGGCAGCGCCTTGAAAAACCTGTTTACTCTTCGGCGTCCAACTAACCAGGTTACATATACGCAAACCTCCGCCGTTGTACTTCGGGACAGAGGACACTATCCACAGCTCGAGAGTCGTTACGGCTTGCCCACTGTCCACCCCGGCAAGGTCCAGCGCGCGTTCGCCCCGCTGCGCCCTGCCTCCCCTCCCCTCCCTGCAACGCGCGACGGCGAGACTCTGTTTGTTACAAAATACAACACAAACCCACGACCACCCTACTACCTTACACAAAAACTTAAAATACTGCCTGTACCTACCCCCCGCCCCCACGACAACATATATTATGCAGGACGAGGCTTAGGATAGGATGCACACGGACGGCCCACAAACAACGCGAACGAAGCTCGCCATCGCCTTCAATTACTGCGGCCACCAAATGGTGCGAACCGCCGCCCGTAAGCGAACTTGTCAACACGCAAGAGTTTCGATGCGACAGCGACAACAGCAGCACCGAACGAAGCACCCAATGTATTTGAAGCTCTATTAGAGCAAGCCGACCAAGACAAAAGGATAATATCATCTCTTACCACCACAGCGTTCACGAGAGGTTCTTCAAGTAGGGCAGACTAGTCGAACAAGGACCTTCCGAAGATCTTGGATGACCATCATAGCGCGGCATCGAATTGCCCTATCGACAGTCGTCGTCTTTAGCCTTGCGCTTGACATGAATACTGACCACTTAGTAGATCGATCACCAAAATAGGGTGCTTTCGGAGGGACACACACGAGTTAATTTCAACAAACAAAACATCCGCCATACGGCGAGAGAGACAAGCAACACAAGCAAACAAATACCCACCTTTACCGCGAGAGATACGCAACACAAAAAGCAAACAAATACCCACCTTACGTACAGCGAGAGACAAAAAGCAACAGGCCTCTCGCCGCCGGCAAACTACAAAACAAAAAACGAAAGAAACAAAGAAGAATCCTGTGGTTTATTGCTGCGTTCGTCTACGCAGCAGCTGAGCGTCCCAAGGCTCGCCCAGCCCAGCCTATCTTGGCCACAACAAACATAGACGCCACCACACACCGCCCGTTCATTCATCACATTCTCGGAAAATTGCCGCCGTACACGTCGGTACTTGAGCTTGTTTTCATTTTCCGTTTTCCCTTTTTTCCTGGTCTCCCCACTACTGTACCTTACTGCGAACAACGTGTTGTGTACAAACACCGAAACTGTTTATCGGAGGCTAGCCACACGGATCGAAAGGTTCGAAATAACCGCATCCCCGCCCCCCCAAAAAAATAGTGCAAAAAAAAAAGACCAACACCAGCGAAAGGGTGTATATCACAACGACAATCATAAAGTGCCACCATCGTTACACAAGAGTACAGAAAAACCACTAGTGCACAACCACAAACATGTAGGACACGCTCAAGAAAACTGTCGGCGAGCGAGCGAACTTCATTCATCCTCACGCGGAGTCGGAGGAGGAGGAGACGCCTGCCGTCGGCGCTGAGAAGAGCGGCAGCCGTGCCACAGGGAGAAAACAGGGTCGTCTATCTACGTGAAAACATAGATTCGAAAAACAGCAGCGCGCCGCGTGGTACTTGCTTCGGCCGTCAGAAGAAGCAGCACGTACCCGGCCGCAGCGGCTTCCACCGCCGCCACGGCCCAAAACACAAAATGTAGCATGGTCGCAAAGACCTATTCTACCAAGGGGTGGGTAGCACTGCCCCCACAGCCGCATCTCTCCCTCCAAAAAAACACCTGGGGTTGTGACAAACATTCATGCGTCGTGCAGGTATCGCTGGCTTGGGGCGACTGACTCTGCCGCCACCGCCCGCCACCGCTCACACGTCAACCACCCTCGTACGCTTCAAAACGCATGTTGATGTCATGTATCTCATCCACGCCCGGCGCCGTTTCCTCCACGGTCCTTCATGGCGTCTCTTATCCTCGTCCCCGGCCTCGCGCTCGCGCCTCCTCCGCCCGCAGGCACACCACCGCCGCCGCCGCCGCCGCCGGAGCGGCCGCTCGTCGTGGGAGCCGTTCCCGTGACGGCCGCGACCCTCCTTGTCGCCGCCGCCGCCGCCTCGTCCCTGCTGGCACGACCGCCGCTGCTCTCGCCTGACCAGCGCGATGACCCCAACGAGGAAGGACCCCCCAGCCTGCGCTGCTTGCTCTCAGCGGCGGCGGTCTCGGCCGGCGACGGCCGCGAGAGTGCCGACAGCCCCTTCATCCCCGTGGTGGTGGTGGTGGTGGTGGTCCTGGTCGCGGTGGAAGTAGCAGCAGTACCCTTGCCGCCGCCGCCGCCGGCCGCGGCCTTGTTCCATGACCGTGGGCTCACCTTGGCGGTACCCGGGGCGCCGCCGCCGCCGCCGCCGCCGCCGTCGCCCAGGCGCCGACGAGGAACTTGCCCGCCGTCCTCGTGCTTCGATTCTCCCGCGTGCTGCGCCGCACGGTCACCACGCGTCGTCGTCGCCGCCCCCCCACCGCCGCCGGGGACACCGCGCCGGCCCTCGTACCCCGGAGCGGCAGCGGCGGCGTCGCCTACCGCCGCCGACCGGGCGTGCGAGGAGCGGCGGAGCTCTCTGCTGCTCCGGAAGATTTCCGCGTTGTCCGCGCTGGTGAGGGTGGGCGCGTCCGGGCGGCGGGCGCAGTCCCTGCTGAAGTCCGCCCACGTCCCGTGAGCCGTTGCCGTTGCCGCCGCCGACGGTCCTGCCACGACGCCGGCGCTGCTGACGCCGCTGCCGCCGCTGAAACGGCCGCTCTTCTTGCGACCGCCACCGCCGTTAGAAGAACGCTCTCCGAGTGACCCCTGCCCTCTTCCCTTGCCGCCCGCCGCTCCCCCCCCGAAGCCCCCGTCGCTGTCGCTGAAATCATCGTCCATGTCGCTGTCCTCGTCGTGTTCGTCGAAGGCCGGGGCGTTGTTCCTCCTGCGAGAGCCGCCGCCCCCGGCAACGCTGCTGGCGCGGCCGAAGGCGTACCGGAGCTGACCGCTGCCGCTGAGCTCGCCTCTGCTCGCCGCCCCCCCTCCTCCTCCTCCTCCTCCGGCTGTCGTCGCACCCGCGGGCCCCCCGAGGTTGCGGGTGGAGCGTTGGTCGGCGTACCTCGACACGATCACGGCCGGCGCTTCGTCCTCGGGGTCGTCCAGCCCGGCGAGGGCACGGAAGAGCCTGAGGCGGGCGTAGAAGGCATGTATGGCATGCATGAGGAGGCGAAGAAGGGATACAGCAGCACACGACATGCATGGGTGGCGTGGGCGTGAAAAAGTGATCCAATAGAGGAGATCGGCCTCGACGGAAGAACGTTTTCGGGGAGATGTGAACCCCGTTGTTGCAAAGACGTCGCCTCCTAAACCCTACCCCTAAGCTCTTCCTGCCGTATGCTACAGCTGTCGACTCATGCCTGTCCATCGAAAGCCACCAATTGCCATTGCTTGCACCGTGAAACCACTCCATCGCTTTAGCCGGCAGTGTGTCAGGTTGTAGGCAACGCAACACCAAAATTGTTCCCGCATTTCTCAGCGCTCCTGTCTGTCTACTTCTCTACCCTCTCCCCTACATTAGCCTTCCCTTTCTCCCAGCACAACACCCCCCCCCCACAAAAACATGTTTCAAATTTCGCCAGTTCTCACTTGGAATGACTGGACCTTCCGCTCGCAAAGTTGTCCATAGGGATGTGGCCGCCGCCGCTCCTGCCGTTACCACTGCTGCCGTTGCTGCGGCGGCTCCTCCCTCTCGCGATGGCACCAGACCCCGCCCCCCGCTGCCCCCTCCCCGTGCGGGCGCCGGCCGCCTCCTGGTAGCCCCCTCCTTGGCGGAAGTCTTCAACAGGAACGCCACTTCTCCCGCCGCCGCCGCCGGCCGCCGCTGCGCGCGAGAGCGGTGTCGCCAGCTCCACCGGCGTCGACCGCCCCCTGCCCCCTGCCACCGCCTGCTTCTGGCGTTGCTGCTGCTGCTGCTGCTGCCGGAGGTCCTTCGAAGCGCTGCTGCTTACCGCCACCGCCGCGACCCCGTGGTGCCCCCCGCCAAACCCTTGAGGCGTCGACGACGGCAGGGTGGATGGCGTAGAGGACGAGCCCTCCTGCCCCTTCTGGACGCGCCCCCCGCCGTCGTAGGCCAGGCTACCCTTCTTCAGGTCGTGGGCGCGGGACCAGCTGTCGTCGGACCTGCCCGAGTAGGACGAGGACGTCTCGCTGGCCTCGATCTCGTCCTCGAAGATGACCTTGTACAGACCCTCCTTTGCTCGGGACAACGATGTATACAACGATAACAACAAAAAAACAACGAAAACAAGCAGAAAAATCAAGAGGGAAATCCATCAGTAGCAACAACAAACACCGATCCGGCAAGATGGGGGAAGATGGCCTTGTACAGACCCTCCTGCTCACGACAACGATGACAATTAACAACAATTTCCAATTTCACAAGTTCACGAAAAAAACTGTGACGACACACTATTAATCATTGAATAATTCCATCCGGTAAAAGGGGGGAAGATAACCTTGTACAGACCCTCCCGCTCGGGACAACGATGGTAATTAACAACGATTTCCAGTTTCACAATTTCAAGAGAAAAATATATTACTAAAAAATAACCATTCAAGAATTCTATCCGGTAAAATAGGGGGAAGAAAACCTTATGCAGACCCTCTCGCTCGAGACAACAAGAGAAAAATTCCAAATAAACGGTGAAGGGAGTCGACGGCAAAAAGAGAGAACAGGTTCCAGGTTGGGTGGAAGGAGGACACTGCCACCACGTACAAAGAACAGAGACTGATCCAAACACATCAAAACAAACGCAAAACGCACGCTTTCAGAAGCACACACGGTCGTGTCCCGCCGAATCAGAGAGTGGTGTGCGCGTTGCTTACCTCCTTCTGTTGGAGCAGCAGTCGGAAGGACACGGCCACCACGAATAGCCCCACTGACACCACGGCGAAGCCACAGATAACGAACCAAATGGCGTCCGGGGCGTCGGTACACAGGGCTTCCTCCACGCCTTCGACGAAGTAGCTGGTGGAGTTTGGATGGTATGTTTGATTTGTTGGTTTTGGTATACAGGGGGGAAAGAGAGAGAGAGAGAGAGAGAGAGAGAGAGAGAGAGAGAGACACACAGACAAACAGAGAGAACGAGAGAGAGAGACGGAGAGACAAGGAAAGGCAGAGAGAGAACGAGAGAGAGAGGAGAGAGGGGAACAAACACGAAGCGCGAGATGGACACGAGACGCCTTGGTAGTCAGCACGAGAAACAGCGTCTTCAACACTTGTCAACACCAACAGATATCCTAACGACAACGAAACAAACACAAACAGCACACCGGTTAACATGGACCAAGAACTGCCTGAGCTGGATGGGAAAACAATTGCCACGCCATCCTCTATTGTAGCGGCACAGCAAACAAATTGCGAGGTGTGTCCACTTACGGATTGACGCTGCCGCACTGAACCAGGTAGCCGAGGGAGTCGATCTGCGCCAGGATGAGGACGATGTTCTCATCGAGAGTCTCCTTGCTTTCGACCTGCACGTCACCGTCGTCGTCGTCATCATTAAAGAAACAACCACACAAACATCATCGAGAGTTCTTCTTTCCGAGATCAACAAGCGCGGACGGATGTTGCTGCTACATATCAAGTGCAACAACAGCAGCAACCACCCACAGGAGCAACAAAGCCAACGAAAGCGCAAAAGCGGCAACCGCCCAAAAGAGCAAAAAAACAAAAAAATGTTGAAGAAATCGCAACCACACGCCACCCACGTACCTCGTCCGGACACTCCGTGGCAAACTCGTCGTCATCGAGGGCGTCGAGCAGCCCCTGCGCCGCGGACCCCTGCAGGTAGGCCGTGACAAGCTGGTCGGAGAAGGTGTTGGCACCCTCGCAAGAGGTGTAGTACGCCACCAGCTCTTGGTCGGCCGGTTTCGAGAAGGCTTCCTGTCGTGTGTATCGTGTTATTGGTGGCAAGGTTGTAAATACTCTTAGTTTTGTTGGGATAACGTAGAAAGGATATAAAAACGTGTGCGCGCGGGGGGG